GCTTCCAACTTTTATTCCACTCGGTACAACTTTAACTACGGAACAGGAACAAACTAACTTCTAAATTAACGTCAACTTCACAAACAATAGCAATAACAAACGGAAAACACGCGTTTCCAACTCGCGGGGTTTAACCTCTTCTACACTCAGGCGCGGCTGTCACTTCCCTCCCTCCGTCTGGTTCTCGTCGTCGGTTATATAGTTTTCACCAGGTATTCCAGATAGTTCTAGAAATCTCTAGAACTGGTGCGAAACTTCCCATTTGTCAGTGTCATATTTGACAGTAAATGGGGCCCCAATGGGGCTCCCATTTACTGAAATACCATGAATTTCGATCCCCCATTCCAAACGTGAGTACCCCAGGCCATTTCCGTTACAGTATTTTATTATGTTGTTGATACAACGAGTTCTTTAAGGCTCTCTTATGAGACTGAAATTCATCGATATAATTCGGTTGAGCTTAACCATTTATGCTTAGATCAGCGACTCAAAATTACGAGTCGAATTCTCTGAATATAAACATAGATTATGGCTTTTCTCCTTTTTGCTGACAAAGAGGAATGATAACATTTATGTGGTATTTCCAATAAGCTGCTTTACATTCTAGTGTAGTCTGTATGTTCTGTACGTCACATTGCAATTTTTCATTCTTTCAGTCCCAACTCGTGCCGCCTCCAGTTCATTTAAACCAGGTTGTGCAATGAAAGCTTAACCTTGAGTACAACTGAACTCAACCTGAAGGCTGAGAGCCGATTGCACAAAACCAGCTGAAGTTGAACTGGATTTCAAGACAGGTTCAAGCGCAGATTTGGGTTGTACAAAATGCGTTCAATGTTGACGCACTTGTTAAGTTGAGGTTCAAGTTGAGTTCAGCGCAACCATCCAGTTCATGGAAAAAGAAGCCCTTAGAAATGTTCAATGGTTTTCCCATTGGTTGCTTTACGCAATTTTATATGGGTATCCCAAATTACGGCTCGGAATCAAACTCGAATAATTCGAATATTCAAAAAGCGAATAATTATGTCTAGTCATAACTCGAATACACCAACATTATCAAACTCACAAGGTGCATATGTTCATATGCACTTTGTATACTTTTATAAAATAAAAGATTCATATTCTACGAGCATTTAAACAAATACCCATATACAAGCAAATGAAAATAATCATTTACCCTCCTGCAAATTAATATAAAAGTACGTCTCTGTGTTCTGATGATTCGCGTCATCAACTTTTGCGCGGTGGTACAATTAATGTGCCGACAAAGGCACTTTTTTATCCGTTGCGACTAGTTGCCAAAAATGATATGATAACGATTTTTCTTCTTGGAAAACGGTGAACGGAAAACGAATACTCGAATATTCAAATACTCGAATATTCGAATACTCGTTAGATATTCGAGTATTCGAATAAACCACTAAACGAGTACCCGAATTTCAAATTTTTAAAAATTCCGAGCACTAGTACATATAGTGTATATGTGCAGATGAATATAACTAGTTTGTTCAAAACAAATGTTCGGGTAATATACATGAATGTATATCCACTGCATATTTTCATAAATTATACTATGGATATTTGCGGATTTCATATACTATACTATACTACAGGGATCTTCGAACTAGAGCAGTTACGGTGGACAAAGTGGACAAATAATTGTAGTTTTTAATGCTCTGCTCGAAATAAATTTTATTTTTCTAAAATTTGACAGCTCTCAAGAGATATTTGAGAAAAACTTTTGAGGGTAAATTTTTAAAATACTCCTAGTTCCGTTGATTTTAATTTGACAGGAAAGCATTAAATAGAAAACTTGTAGGAAATTTAATTCCAAACAAAATGGCATAAGACATGTCTGCAAAACAACTGTAATTTTTGACATATGACACAAATCTGAGTTTTTTTAATGGCAGCCATACTTGATTATTGCTTTACCGAATAGAGAATTTTATTACGATTTCTGTGTTATATCACATCGTTAGATTTTTTTCAAAAATTAAGTGGGCGAACAATTTTTACTTTTTCAATTTAGTTGATCGAAGTTAAGCATGGAAAATAATATAAGACATACAGCACTGTTTCCATAGTAACAAATAATAACAGTATGCTTCAATATTTATTTTGACAACTTTATTAAAGAAGGCAATGACTTTATTTTAATTAAGACGGCTGGTCATTTAGTATTTATTATAAAAATCAAATCATACCAATAATAATTAAAACTTAACTCTAGAGACGTTAATTTTTACTGATAATTTATATGGATGGAATTTGTGTTTTTTTTTTTAAACTCTCATCACGGTGCTTTGGGAAGTCACGGATTCTGCTGTGATCTCTCTGGTTGAAATCTGTAGATTCTGGCTTACAATGGCCAAGACATTAACCTCCACAGCTTCATTTATTACTTTATCTTCATTTCTTGGCTGCGTAAAACTTCCATAAGTGCCCAAATTGTCATATAATCGTTCGAATGTTGTCAAGGACGGTTGACGACGGTCAAAATACCTCTCAAAATAGTG